TAGCAAGAAGACCTTAACCAATGGTGCCCATAAAGTGACACAGACTGCAATCTACTAGCCCAAAAAAACCTATGTCCTCTAACTTGTTAACTGGTATCCAAGACAGTATGTAAGTAAAAGAGTATAACAAGTCTGGAGGGCTTTTTGGAAAAAATTATGCAGACTTAGGTGCTGAAAAGAAGGGATATTCTCTTTAGAAAGAATAAAAATACATCTTCAATTGTCTGGGACAATCCTGGTTTATGCATGTTGCTGCTGTCATTATTAATGTTAACCTTTTTTCACTTCAGAGAGGTTCCTTTGCATGATAGATTACATGGTCACTCTAATTTCAGGAGTCAATAATGATTGTTTGGAAGTAAGAGTGACTAACTCTCCTTTATCATCCCCTGGCCTCAGGACTGAGATTTGTGCCATCCTCATCTGCCATGATCATTTTCAACTTGAGCAGTTATAACCCAGGACCCTTCATTTTGGTGGGGATCCCAGGCCTGGAGCAATTCCATGTGTGGATTGGGATTCCCTTCTGTATGATCTATATTGTAGCTGTAATGGGAAACTGCATCCTTCTCTATCTCATCACTGTGGAACGCAGCCTTCATGAACCAATGTTCTTCTTTCTCTCCATGCTGGCCATGACTGATCTTATCCTGTCCACAGCAGCTGTGCCCAAAACACTCAGCATCTTTTGGCTGGGAGCTCGAGAAATCACATTTCCAGGGTGCCTGACACAGATGTTCTTCCACCACTATAGCTTTGTCCTGGATTCAGCTATCCTGATGGCCATGGCATTTGATCGTTATGTGGCCATCTGTTCCCCTTTGAGATACACCACTATCTTGACTCCCAAGACCATCATCAAGATTGTTGTGGGCATCTCCTTTCGGAGCTTCTGCATCATCCTGCCAGTTGTATTCTTGCTGACACGCCTACCTTTCTGCAGGACACGCGTCATACCCCACACATACTGTGAGCACATAGGTGTTGCCCGGCTTGCCTGTGCTGATATCTCCATCAACATCTGGTATGGCTTTTGTGTTCCCATCATGACCGTCATCTCAGATGTGATCCTAATTGCTGTCTCCTACTCCCTGATCCTCTGTGCTGTTTTTCGCCTCCCCTCCCAAGATGCACGCCAGAAGGCCCTTGGCACCTGTGGGTCCCATGTCTGTGTCATCCTCATGTTCTATACACCTGCCTTTTTCTCCATCCTTGCCCATCGTTTTGGACACAATGTTTCTCTCACATTTCACATCATGTTTGCCAACCTCTACATTGTTATCCCACCTGCACTCAACCCCATTGTCTATGGAGTGAAGACCAAGCAGATCAGAGATAAGGTCGTACATTTGTTTTCCACTAAAAGCACAGAATAATGTTGCACCAGGCAGTGAAACATCACCTTTGCCAGGATAAGTGAATACTGTATTTAAATGTAGTAAGAATAAAAAGCAAATGCTATTTAAAATCAGGACTGCTTGTAGCTGTTTTGTGTACCATGACATATGTGAGAACGTCCTATGCATAAAAAAAAATAAATAAATAAAAAACTTTGATGACCTAATTACCTAGGTAACAGAATTGTACAGGACACGATCAGGAAGGAGGTGAAAACAGAGTTGAGTTACTGTAAATGAAAAAGGCAATAAAAAATTGGAAATTGAGATTTTCAGTGATAATGATTGAGAAATGTGTTAAAGCAGACACTGAAGAAGACAAAAAGCAGAAAGATTAGTGAGAAAGTTCTCATTTAGGAGATTCGCAGAAGGATACTTAGGACATTTATGATAATATTTTAACTATTGTGTATTTTGTGCTTCACTGTAATACCCTTTTAATCTCACTCCACCACCCTCCCCACAAAGCCCTTCAGCCGGAGTCTGCTATTAATGAGTTCTATCAGCAGCACTGTCAAGGGAATGAGGTAAATAGCACACATATGAATGCCGGGGCCCTGGAGGTGGTGTTGGCAGAGGAGAGGAGCTTCCGGGTGTGAAGGCACATTGAAAAAGTGAATTGTTGAACTAGCGCCAGGAGAGCACAGCCTCTAAAAATAGTTAGAGATCTGAAGAAAGGGTTAGACTTCCCCAGTCCATAGACCTTAACCCAGTTCTAGACACTAAAGGAAAAATTCAACCTTGTTGTTTGAAGGGTTTTGTAGAGACTGTGGGTGAAAGAAAAAATCAACTATGAGAGGCAGTTTAATTTTGAGGAGGGAGACTGATGAAGGGGACAGAACCATACAGTAACATTTTTAGTAAGCTGCATTCAAATTCCTCAGAAATTAAAGTTTAGAAAATGCTATTTGTTGTGATCAAAAGGGATCTGAGGAGCATACTCACAGACCAATAAGCACTAGCAAACCAGGGTTAATGTAATAACTTACCCCAAATTTACCATGCAAATAGGACTTTTCATGGCATCAATTTGCAGTAATTCTCTAATATGTTCTTAATTACTTGCATATAATTTTCACATTTATTTATTAGTTTAAAATCTTCCTCATGGTAACCCCTGAGAACTGTCATATCTAAAAGCTTACATAGTTTCACAGGATATTTGTGTTTCTTACCACTCCCTGAATCCACAATTCCCCTTCCCCAATTCAGAAATACTAACACACAACAGCATGCATAGATAGACATACCTGCTTATCATTTTAAGCACAATGTATAATTTCAAAAACTTTTATATAGCCTGTACTAGTGTGACCTGTTTTCCTGTACTGGTGTGACCTGACAGAGTCTACATAATAGGAAACGAGTACTCTTTTCCATCCAAATATGCTTTGTCTTTAAAAATTATATTCATCATTAAAATTAGAAGTCAAAATACCTACTCAAAGATGACAGCTACAGATTTCTGCATGCTTTAATGAACAGTTAAGGAAATAATAAACATTCATATGTAATATAATAACTAGCTCACTTTCACTAATTTTTAACACCAGGATTTGGCCTAGGCTGCTGTTCTCTGAGGTTAAGAAAAGCAGCTTAGCCTGAATTTCAGCCTAAGACCAACTCATCCTTGAAAACAGTTCACATCTCAACGGTTCCCACTCCCACACATAGTGAAAGATCCACCTTTTGAGATTTTGTACCACCTTTCATCTATATCACCATTCTGTTGGGTCATGAGTATATTCTTCCTTGTTTTATTAGAAATCTTTTCATGAGTGTACCTTAAGTCCCTGTGTCTAAACTGTGTATGCCTTAGGAGAAAATATTATTTTGCAAGTATTTTTATTGCCATGGCCTAAAGCAGGACAACCTACTCATGAAATGCAATGTGTGTGTATGTATACAAAATTCTTATTAAAAATTTTAATGTCACATTTCTTCTCTCCATTCATTCTCCTTTGAGAGAATACTAAGTCCTGGGATTCAGTGTAACATAGACAAAAGAACAGTGCTAGGTGCCAGAAGATGTGAATTTAAAACCCAGATATACTAGTGACATGGTCAACGAGCTTAAAAGTTTGTACATCAGTGAATTTACTTTTCTACGCATCTGTAAAGGAGATGAGAATGATACATCATTGTATACCTATTGTTTAGTAAGCATTCAATAAATGTTCAGTATAGTTGTTTCTTCTTTCTTCCCACAAAGCTCTTTCCACATCTTTGTAATGATGATAATGAAAATTAGAAAGAACAGATATTAGCATTCTTACTCTGTGAATGAGAAAACTCTACAGGAGTGGTGACCAGTTTTTAAGTTCTAAATCTTTTTAGAGATTCTATCTCTTGCATTGACTGGCTTTTTTTTTTTTATAATCAGTTTCCATGTTATCACACAATAAAGGGAATAATCTTGAAATTAACACATAAAGCGTTATATGATTCCCCACTTTGATTATAGCATTAAATACATTATTAAGTTTCGTTGACTTATTTTTTTACATTAAAGTTTTTTATTTATTTTTTAATTTTTTTTAATTTTATGTAGTTGTTATATTTCATTTTCTAAGTAATATTGATTAAAAATATTTATACACTTACTTTTAAGTCCACAGTTTAGCACTCTTATTTGTATGGCTTTAAAAGTTATAGCACAAGATCTTTACATTAAGGATTGGGGGAAAAGATTCCATTCAAAACAAAGCCTGATATATTATATACATGTTTTTCTCTGTACTTTATTTTAAATACATTAATTTTTAAATGATGCTCATCTTTTTATTTTTCATCTTGTGGTAAAATACTAGTGCAACTTTTCATCAAAATAAAGTTTACTACAGATGTAAATGAACTCTCCCAATTGAAAATGGCCCTTCAGCTGCCATTAAATGAAATTTCTCAATCTAACTTAAATGAAAAAGAATTGGTAGTTGTCATCATAAGCAAAAATATGAAGTACTATAGCACTGTCTACATTGCTCCTTATAACACAAACTTTGAAAGAACCAGAGATGTTTTATAGAAAAGTCTAGTTGGTTTTAAAAAGGCACATGGGTGTTTTGTTTGTTTGTTTTTTTAACATTCTGGAAATTTTGCCACCACCACTCTTTCTGTTGCAGAGATGGCACCTGTGACTATTGGGGTAGACAAGAATGTTGTTCAAACTAAAGAAAGCCAGCCAAAATTTTAACTGCACAGTAACAACACACTTTCTTCATGCAGCCTTGTTTCCTACATATTCAATTTTCTAACATGCATTAGAATACATAAACTTGTATTCTAATGATTTTACATTTGATTTTACAATATGGAAAAAATTTGAGGAAGGACATGACCCGGGGAAGAGAAAACGGTGATAAAGAACCCTTACTACAATGAAAATAGATACTTTCGTATCCAACTATATAATAAGAATATAATCCATTTAAGTTTTCAGAAATATACTTCTCAAAGCTCCCCTTCATTTATGAGAAAGATCCTCCTCTGTGGCATTAACTGGGGTGAGGGGCATCAGTATGTTTCGATAGAAACAGTTCAGCACAACAGGAAATAGTTTTTAACTTTGGTCTACTTGTCTGTCAGTTTAAGGACAGTCACACTGCCCATAATCAGTTAAAAAACCCAACGTGTAAATTAAAAAATATATTCGTTATTTCAATCTAAAACTGGCATAGCTGTTCTGTCATCATTCTCTGCCTTTTCAACTTGGGAATCCACTGCTGGTTTGGTCTTTAAACCCTCAGCACCTCTGTGATCTTCCCTGGCAGCCTCAGCAGCATCTGCTTGGTTAGGCTCTCTCTCCTCTTGGCTCATGATTTCAGGGGTCACGTGATCCAAGTCCGCTTCTAGAAGCTCAGTTTGTACTTCCACTGGCATCTGATTTACCCGTTCAACATGCAGCTCCTCTACGTGTACTTCAGTACCTTCTTCAGTCTGAATTCGACCCACTTCTAGATAACTGACTTGGACCTGCTCTGGAAGCTCACTCATGTGTGAATCATGCACTTGGCTGTCCTGAAGCAGATCTGGATGGACTTGTTCCACAGTCACTTGTGCTGAATCCACCTGGACCTGAAGTAATGGTAACACATGCACCTTCCCAATTGATGTCACTGGTTCAGTTTGCACACGTGTTTCTACTGAAAGGACTTCTTCAGTTACTAGACGCTCTGAAATATTACGAGTATCACTGAGATGCCTCCTTAATTCATTTCCTTGCATAAACCACAAGTCACATAAAGTACAATGGTTGGGTTTATCTCCAGTGTGTATTACCAAGTGATCTTTGAACTGTTCCCAGCTGTTAAACACACTGTTACATACCTGGCATTCATACAGCTTCTTCCTTCCCTTTTTTGCCCCCACTCCAGTTTGGCATGCAGTGAGATGACATTTGAGAGTACTATTTCTAGCAAATCGTTCATGACAATTTGGACACTCAAAAGGTTTTTCACCTGTATGTTTTCAAAGATGCTCTTTAAAATGTCCAAAGTGGTCAAACTGTTTCTCACAGTACTGACATATATGAATTTTTTTCCCAGTTCTTTGCTTCTTACTCACTCCACCTTCTTCAAGGTGGTAACAATTTAGGTGCTGTTTCCGTGCGCTCTCCCGAAGGTACCTTTTATTGCATATTTCACACTTGAAACTCTCAGTGGAGTGTGATTTCATGTGTTCCTTAAAATGGTAAAACAATTTAAATGAACGGTTACATTTCTCACAATGGAACAAGTCCTTCACATGTGACAGCTGAAGTTCCACAATTTCAATACCTTCTACCTGTTTGCTTATGGGGTCAGATGCACAGCCATCTTCTTCTGCCCTTTTTTATCACCTTGTCGGTACTTGCTGGTAATATCTGCCAACAATGCTAAAGCAGAATCATCAGAGGAACCTGTGCTCTGTATGTACTTTATGGACTGCTTGGCAGAAGCCACTTCCTCTAATGTTTCCATGCCTTCATCTTACACTTCAATTATGCCTTCAGCAATCTCCACCTCAATTTCAACAGGCTCTGATTCTGCAGATGGCAATGACTCAGTGATAACATTTGAAGTTTCTGCAATCTTTCTTTTTTTTTTGCCTCATTTTTTCCTGTGGTATTTTCCTCTAATGGAGCTGAATTTTCTTTGTTTCTGACTTCAAGGGCTTTAATAGCTTCTAGCATTTGTAGAAATTCTGCTGCTTTCCATACGTCATTGGCTTCTTCTTCTCCTTGTATCATTAGTTTTGCTGTGTATGTGAACTCAATTAAATGACGAAAGGCCATTTTACTAACACCTTCTATCTCCACCAAAGGTTCCTGAGTAAACTCCTGAAAGAATTTGTAGAAGAACTTACTGCAAGCAGCCAAAACAGCCTTATGGGCCTTAAAATGATGTCCATCGACTATTAGTGTGATATCGGTAAATCGATCCTGCTCTCGTTGTTCATTCAATCGGTCCAGAATCATTTTATGATGTTCAGGAAACTCCTGAAGGCATTCCATTGTCTCTTCAGCCTCCATGGCCTTCGGGTTGCTCTAGCTCGCGTTTCTTCTCTCCTCCCCTTCCGTGCTCTCCCCTCCCAGAGCACAGGTTACCCTACACCTTTCCCTGTTCCCAGGCCGCAGCTTTCCCTCCATCATTTTCTTCGCAGGATCCCGGGCGCTCCTTACGCTGGGTCTAGCTGACGCACGTGCGCTCGCCTGATATTAAAGTTTTTTATTACATTCTGGTGCAAATTCTTCAATTTTGCTAGTTAACCAGTGAAGAATATTTACCTGTGCCTGTCATTGTTCCATCAGAACAAATAACCCTAGCAAACTTAAATATTACATTTGTTGACAGTGCATAATTCCTAATTTTTTCCTAATTTTACATATGGCTTGGCAAGTGAGTTGAAAAACTAACTTCTCCTTTTTTTTTTTTGGTACCAGGAATTGAGCCCAGAGGTGCTTAACCACTGAGTCACATCCCCAGCCCCTTTTGATTTAGAGAGAGGATCTCACTGAGTTGCTTAGGGCCCTGCTAAGTTGCTGAGACTGGCTTTGAACTCGAAATCCTCCTGCCTCAGGAGGATTATTAGTGTCTCTTTCATTAGTGTCTTGTACAAATCACATATGTAATAAAATAATAATTATATTAACAGTATTAACAAATTGCAATGAAAAATGCTTTATGGACTTTATTCGTTCTGTGAGTTTGACTTCCATAGCATGAACTAATTCCTAGATATGTGGAAAAAAGTTATATTGTCATTAGAAGAAAGGCAGCCTAGAAGTAACAACAAGAAGTTGTGTAGTTCTCCCCTACCTGTTTCTTTTCCTCTGGAAGATGTTTTCCACAGTGTCATTTCTAGCAGTAAAATTAGAGGACATTGGCTGAATACATTGTTACATTCACACAGTGAAATAATATTGGCCACTGAAGCTATATTATAGAAAATATTGATTATGTTATTCAATAAAATTCTTAGCAGTTATTGATATCCACTCCTCCCACCCCCGCAAAAAAAAAAAAAAAATTGCTCAGGCTGGATTCTTCATTGAGGACCTCAGGACTAAATCAATAGATACACATAGTGGGCTTGCTGCTTATAATCCCTGGGATCTACCGGAATAATTACTTCCCTAGATTATAATGTGTATACACACACACACATACACACACACACACACACACACACTTCACAAGGATAAGGCCCAACAGGAGAGGGGATTATTGTGCCATTCTGGAATATCAAAACACATGGCCATAATTATATAAGGATATTTACTGTGGCACACCTCTGTAATCCTAGCTTCTTGGGAAGCCAAGTCAAGAGGATCATAAATTTGAGGTCAGCCTCAGCAACTTAGCAAACCATGCCTCAAAATAAAAAATAAAAATGACTGGGGATGTAGCTCAGTGGTAAAGTGCCCCTGGGTTCAATCTCCAGTACCAAAAAAGAACAGTTTTATTGTTGATAAATTGTGAATTTCTTCTGTGAGTGTATATGAAAACAGAATTTCATTCAAGCTAGGGACTAAAAACAAATATAAACTGTGGGTTACACATTTTAAAAGCTATTAAGTTGCTCTAAATGGGAGGGTTGGGAGGTACTGTGTAACTAATGTGTCTATTATTAAGGTACAGAAGTTTTTCTGTGTGGCTGCAGCAGGCACATTGGATAGGCAGCATATTTTTAAGCTGACTCTTCCCAAATTACATGTAATGTTGTGTTAATTCTCCTGCTAATTCTCAGGCACTGGTACTTCTGAACATCTGTGTTGGACTCAGTGTGGAATAAATCCAGGTAGAGGCTGGGGGGTACCTTTTCAGGAGTCTCAAACCGTATCTAGGATAACTATATCAAGGCACTCTTTTGGGTGCATGGTACATTAATTTTTACAACTACTTTTTTTTTTCAAACTTGCAATTTTTTATTTGTTCTTTTTAGTTATACATGCCAATAAAATATATTTTGGTAGATTATACATTCATAGAATATAACTTATTCTATTTAGGATTCCTATCTTGTGGTTGTACATGATGTGGAGTTACCCTGATTGTGTATTCAAATATAAGGCCAAGAAAGTTATGAACGATTAATTCTACTGTCTTTCCTATTCCCCTCTCCTTTCCCTTTCCTTCATTTTCTTTTGTCTAACCCAGTGGTTTTATTCCCTTCCCCAACCTCCCTTGTTTTGGTTTACAACTACTTTTTTGGGAAGATAAACTAATCTTCATTGTACAGAGAAAAACTAAGCTCCCAAGTATTAAGGAGAATACCTAAGGCTACATAGTAGTGAATCTTTATTCAAAAGGCTTGGCTCTTTTCACCAAGGGTCTTTGACTTCTTATAGGGTTAAGAGGTGGAAACAATATTAAAGAATGGTAGCTGTCAGTTTTCAGATGGTAACTGGGTTTGTCATTTGGTGTAGAGCAAAGCCAGTCTCTGTCTGCGTTTGCTGCTACACCATCCAGTGGTTCTGCAGAGACCTCCCTGTCTGGTCTCTACATTTCTCCAGGCCCTGAGCATGCCAGACACATAAAGCTGAGCCTCAGGAAAGCCCACAGAGATAATTTTGGATTTCTGCTCAGTCCTCCTTAACAATTCAGCTGAGACTAGTTAGGTTCTTAGTCCAGTAGGTGCTCAGTCCTTGTAGGGGCTCAGGTCCATGATCCTTAAGGTACTCACAAAAGAAGCCCATAAATTCCATTTTTCCACACCTGCTTTCTCCCAAGCTTGCCACAGGAACTACTTTGGAGTCTCCTAGGTCCCAGGTGTATACAACTAGCTCAATGTTTAAGCTCAAGGAGCAAGGTCTGGAGAAGGATTGGTTGCAGAGAGACAGCATGCTCACTCCTCATCTTTAATCCCACCTCTACAGCATAGAAGTGAGACGTCCTTGTCACATTGGTAGTAGTAATTCTTTCACAAACATCAGTCACACCACAGACACAGTTTGGGGACTCCTGAAAAAGTGTCTCCTAACCCCTACCTGGGTTTACTCCACACTGAGCCCAACACAGGTGGTCAAAAGTGCCAGTACTGGTTGGGCGCGGTGGCACATCCCAATGGCTCCGGAGGTCAAGACAGGAGGATTGTGAGTTCAAAGCCAGGCTCAGCAACAGTGAGGTGCTAAGCAACTCTGAGACCCTGTCTCTAAGTAAAATACAAAACAGGGCTGGGGGTGGGGCTCAGTGGTTGAGTTCAATCCCCTGTACTAAAAAAAGCAAAAAAACAAACCAAATAAGTGCCAGTACTGGAGAAGATGCTCTCTTTGAATTGATAAAATGAGTTGTTCATACTTTTTTCAAGGAACAACTAAAGCAGAGAACATTGAATAAAATTCCACTATTGGGTCGCCTTGAACACTCTCCCCAGCCTGTCTGAGCTCAGGTTTACATTCACAGTGGAGAGTAGGAGATGGAAAGCTGATGTGCCTTTCCCAAGAGGACTGAGGCTGAGTCACCCGGTTTCCTTTCTCTGTATCATTGTCTCAGGTTGGAGTGAGGAGGAAATGTGAGGTGTGGAGCCACCACCATATTCCCCATCTTATTTAGAAATAGTCTTATAATCAGTGTAATTCCTCAACTCTATTTGTAAAGGAAATATTTTCTTTAATGCAATCCGATTTAATCAGAATCTTTCATTTTTTCCTTTAGTCCCACTTAAAAAAAAATTACATTCAGGATCATTCTACTTCCAAACAAATGTACGTCAGTACTCAACTCATATTTTTTAAATTTAAGATATATTAAAGGTCTGTTCATCGGATTATGGGTGGATTCAGGGAATAATAAAAATCCCAAATTATAACAATAACAACATTTAACATGTGTTGGGCATTTACTGTATTGCAGGCACTATTGAGTCCCACATATTGCTTTAATATGTTATTTTGTTTAATTCTTGCAATTTTCCATGTAAAGTAGATGCATTTATTATTATCCTCAGTTTAGATATGAGAAAATTTTTGCCCAGAGAATTTGGGGATTCTATCCAAAGTCACACAGCTTTTATGTGGCAGAGCTAGGATTTGAGCCTAGATAATCTGGCTTTAGATTCTACTATGGATTTTATAACTGTGCTAAAATAGGAATAAACAAGAACAAAAAAATATAGCTTCATGCTGTTTTCATCAGTACCCTACCTCTTCTGAAATCAAGGTGAGACTATGTCGTCTGACTAAATCATGGTTCCAAGTGATTGATACATCCCAAATTCATTTTATGCATTCTTTTTCTGTTCCTTCTTTTCTCCTAGTGTAACTAGCTGCATTTACTATATGTTCTTTGATGTTCTACTCTAACCTGGAGGGAATACCTTTTCCCTCAAGCCTTCTAGACAGGACTCAGTATATGAGCCACTCTGAGTAGAATGTCTCCAAGGAGAAAAACTCATCCTGCGAAGGATAAACTGAAGAAAGGTAAGATAGATGGTGACCTCACTGTGTGCTCTGGCCTTGAACCCTGTGGGGAAGAGGTAACAGATGGTCAGGGACAAGTCTCAGTCTTCATGGGCTCTTAGAGGTCTGTCTACCGTCAATGCTCCAAGGACCCAGGCTGGTAAAAAGGAGTTCATGTGTGAGCAGAGTTAGAACAAAAAGACACCCTTAGAGTAGGAATGGAAACCCAGAGGCATATGGCAATTTAGTGTCTGTGTGAGTGGCACAAGCATCTGCTTCTGAAGAAGAAAGATGCTGTCACATGAGGACCGAGGCAAAGAACCTGGGAGAAGAAACAGTCCTGGACTGGAATTCAAGAAATCTTGTTCTTGGTCACAGCTCTATGTGATTCTGTCTTTTTTGTGCATGGGTTTCTTGACCCTGGGAAGAAGCACAAGATAGCATAACACATCTGCAGCAACATTACCATGATGGAGAAGATCCAAGACCCTGAGCCACAGCCCAGAGCCAGTCCTGTGCCCTGCAGCTCAGGGAGAGTGGAGATGCCTCTTTACTTCTCCTGCAACATGCCCCTGTCTGAACTGTGACTTGCAGAGGATGCTGGGCTGGTAAGGTCTGGACACAGCGAGGGGGTAGGAGGCAGGAGAACAGAGCAGGCAGGTAGAAGATGAGGAGGATGCAGCTATGCCTGCAGAGAACCAGATAGGGAGCAGAGTGGAGGCTGGAGGGTGTGAGGAGGGTTCACTGCTTCCCTCTCCCCACTTCCCTCAGGCTATGGGAGGAAATTTAAAGAAATGTATGCTACAGACATGGAGGAACTAGGGTAATCATCTGTGGAATTTTGCCAATGGGAAGTGCGCTAGTAGACCCACAACCTAGGTATAGGGCTTTCTTAAGAGGCCCTTGTTTGGGTGCAGGTTGTGCTTGCCCTGTGATTTTGGAAGAGGCATTCCCAGCTGCTGAGGGAGTTGATTCCTCTTTCCCTTTTAAAGACTGGGCCTGCCCTGTGGTAGGCTGGGCCATGGCAGGATATTTCCAGGGTCTAGAGAGGACAGAAGGGCCCTGACTTGAGCAAGTCAGGGCCAGGGCCCCTGACTGGACAAAGCCTCACCCTTTGTAAGGAACTTCAGGTACCTAAACCAATACGACTCCCCCATGGGAAGTCTAGTCTGCTTAGAGGTGTCTCTGCAGGAGTCAGGGTGTGGGGATGTGGATGCAGCACAGGAAGCAGTGCTGCAGGGAGGGCTCTGAGGGGAGCTTAGTTCCTCACTCATTCTCTGCTCACCTGCCCCAGGTTCCTCAGTCTCAAGAAATTCAAAGACAAATCTGTGGTCCTCAGATAGAGCATGGAAACCCCATCTTACCTCAGATCCTTCTCCAGCCTGTTTTATTTATCCACTTAAACCCAGGTCAGTAAAGTCTGCCCTCCCTCCCACAATCACATTTTAACCTGACCGCCAATGGCACTGTCACTGTGGCATCTGATCTCTGTCCCTTCCTCGGCAGCCCAGACCTGATACTCTGTATCCTTGGTGGGCATCAAATTTTCCCAGGCTTATTTTTGTAGAACCAGAAGTATCTTCCCACGGGCAAAGAGCAGAGGAAAAGGGAGCCATGAAACTGAGTCAGAGGGTGGATGTCTATATTGGTCAAAGAAGGGATTAAGTTTCATGAAGCAGGTACCTACAGCTAGAGAGAAGGGTGTCATGGGCAACTGGAAAATGTCGTGGACAGACTGGGAGGGACATAATGTTTGGGAGAGTGGTTTCCAAGCTAAAACAAATAACAAACACACAAAACCTTCCAGAAATGGATCATGGGATCATGAAACAAGAGTTTTGTCTGAGCATCTGTCAGTGAATGGATTGAAAAATAGCCATAGCTTATTTCCTTCCCCTTGACTTACATGTCCCCTAGGGTGCAGGGAACACAGGTGCTGTGCTACCATTGCATGCATTAGACTTAGATAACATGAATGACTTCCCATGTGTCTAGGTTGATGTGGGGACATTTCATCCTGAAAAAAGGACTTTGTGAGGCCATGACAAAATGTTTCCAGGACTAGAGGAGCCAGTATGGCCCTGTGGTAAGCAGGGCAGGGCCAGGTCCCATGACTAGGTAAAACCTCACACTTCAGAAGGAAGCTCAGGTTCCTAAACCAATAAGACTCCCCCGTGGGAAAGTCTAGTCTGTGCTTGGATGTGCCTCATCTCTGCAGGAGTCAGGATGTGGGGATGTGAGTGAGGCAGGATGTTTAGTCAGATGAGGTTTGGCTCAAATCCTAGCTCTCTTATTTACTACCTGTGTGACTGGGAGTATGTTAACATCTCAGAAACCAAATTCTTTCATGAATCATACAGGAATGTTAGTGAACCCACAAAACTGTTAGGAAATCATTGTTCAGTGTATGACAAATCCCATAACAGTGCCTGATTTGGAGTTCAGAAAATGCTACAGCATCTTAACCCCTCATCCTTGCCCCTACCTCACTATAATCTCAGTAACACTGGCAATTGCCTCTCACATGCCCCATTTGTGCCCTGCAGGTACAGAGCCTGGTGAAACCAGGAAATGGAGCTGGATCCTGCCCTGCCTGCTGTCAATCAGACTGTGCTAGTCTCTGCCCCTGGACCCTTTGTCCTGCTGGGGGTGCCGGGACTGGAGGCCTTGCATGCATGGCTGTCTGTGCCTGTGTGCCTGCTGTACATGGCAGCTTTGGTAGGGAATGCCCTTCTACTGGGACTGGTGGCAGTGGACAAGGCACTCCGGGCTCCCATGTACCAACTGCTGGGGCTTCTGGCAGCTGCTGACTTGATTCTGGCCACATCCACAGTGCCCAAAGCCCTGGCTGTGCTCTGGGGTTTGTCAGGTGAGATCTCCTTTGGGGCCTGTCTAGCTCAGCTCTTTGTTGCCCATGTGGCCTTCATTGCTGAATCCTCAGTGTTGCTGGCCATGGCTGTGGACCGCTATGTGGCCATTTGCCAGCCTCTGCGCTATGGGGCCTTGCTGACCCAGCGTGTGGTAGGCATAGTGGCTATAGCTGCAGTGGCTCGCGGTTCCTGTGTCATGGTGCCTCCTGTGGTTCTGCTTCAAAGACTGCCTTACTGTGGGCAGCGGGCCCTGCCTCACACCTACTGTGAGCATATGGGTGTGGCTCGCCTGGCATGTGGTGACACACGCCCCAACATCTGGTATGGACTGGCCACCACACTGCTCTCCCCGTGCCTGGACCTAGGGCTCATAGGTGCCTCCTATGTCCTTATTCTCCGTGCTGTCTGCCGCCTGCCATCCCATGGTGCCCGCTACAAGGCCCTGGGTACCTGTGGGGCGCATGCCAGTGTCATTGTTCTTTTCTACACACCTGCCCTCTTCTCTTTCCTGGCTCACCGTTTTGGCCACCACACAGTGCCTGACCACATCCACATCCTACTTGCTAATCTCTACGTGGTGGTTCCCCCAGCCCTTAACCCTGTAGTCTATGGAGTACGGACCCAGCAGATTGCTCAGAGGCTTAGGCACTTGCTTCAGCTCTTCTGGGCAGGGGCAGTGAGGAAGGTGGACCCCGAGAGGGTATCCCCACAGGAATGAAGGTGCTCTCTCAGATGGCCAAACAGTGTGTCCTCAGATGGCCAAACAGTGCTACAGGACTCATCTCTGACCAAGGCGTCTCCACCTTCTGCCCCTAGGTGGCCCTTTACTTGTGCCAACCCATTACCCCATTTTCACCTCCCAGGCACGAGTACACTGGACTAACCTCTGCAGGCTTGGCTCTACCTGCAGTCTACTCCCACTTTTTATGACTCTATTCACCTCCATAGATAGATCCCAAACATATAGAAGAAGTCAGGCCTGAACTGTGACAGACACGGAAGCTCAGCCTGTGGTGGAGATCTTGCTTTTCTCCATCATTCTACCCAAACAGAGCCAGAATAGTGCGAAGCAGTTCAAGTGGGGCCTTTGTACAGTGTGTGGAACTAAATGGGAATTCCATGCTTGCTGATGGAATGAAGATGAGAGGGGCTGGAGAAATGGTACAATCTGAATAAAATGGAACACAAAAAAACTAACTTGGTTTCTGACCTGATTGTTACCTAGGGCTCTGTGTATCTGGGAAGAGAGTAGACACTACTGTGGCTATCTCCCTAAGCTGTCTCCCATCTTTGATCAGAGACTGAGGCTATTCCTGTTTTGTGCCACTGACTAGTTGTAGTTGGTAATAAATGGGAAGATGACTCGGACACCTGATGTCATGCTCCATGCTCTATCTATTCTCCTACTTTTCCTTGCCACCATCTCTTCCTCCATAAGATATAGTGACCCCTGCCTGGACACTGATGGACAGGTTTCCTACTCTGTACACTTTAGGTTTTCCAACCCACTGTCTGTCTCCCTGGGCTAGAAGAATTGATGGAAAATGAATCTCTGGCCTTGGGCTGGGATTCAGAGGATGAGAATCTGTAAAGCAAGATAGAAATATCTCTCACCAAGGATTTCCAAGAAGAGCCCTGAGTCTGTCTTCCTGTGGTCTTATATTCACCTATGCTTTTCAATTCTTTCCCAGAAGGGGAAGTATGGGATCCATATGCCTTTTTTTTTTTTTCCTACTAATCATATGCCAGGGAGGTAATCTCAAATGATGATGTGGATAAGCAGAGGACATTTGTGCTAGGTGGCTATAGTATCTGAAGTTGGGGTTACTATGAAAAGAAGAGAAGCAGCAAATAGCATAGCAGAGCTATAGAAACTATATTCCCCAACAGAAAACAGGGATGAGCTAGGTGCAGTGGCCTGTAATCCTAGTGGCTCAGGAGGTGAGGCAGGAGAATTGCGAGTTCAAAACCACCCTCATCAAATTAGCAAGATCCTAAGCAACTTAGTGAGACCCTGTCTCTAAGTTAAAAAGAAAATTATATATATAAGACTGGTGATGTGGCTCAGTGGTTAAAAGCCTCTGAATATAATCCCCAGTACCATAAAAAAGAAAGAAAGAAAAAAGAAAAGAAAACTGGGATGATATACACACTCTTCATAGGAAATAACTACTTTCATAGGAAATCTGGCATCCCCACTGCACGTCTCAGTGCCAAAGAGGTATTCATGTGAGATGGTAGAGGATGAGAGAGTAATTTAGGGCGATCACCACTCAGAAAACTGACCCATGATACCTTGTCCAGGTGTTAGGAGCCAAACTCTTGCTTTTCTTTAGAGATATCCAGAGGACTTGGAGGCCAGATGACTTGAGGATCAATAACTTCCTGCAGCAGATTAGAAAATATTTTGGGGATTTTCTTGGAGGACAGACAGTAGAGGCTGAAAGCATCAAGACTAAGGGAACTAGGGGAGTATCTGAATAATGAAGTGGGATGGAAAATTTAGAGTACCTAGGAGAATGGAGGAGGCAAATTGCTAGAGGTGAGGGAGGGTATATAACAGAGCATTCCAGCACAGCATTGCTGAAGCAACCCCTCCCACCCCAGGTCTTCCTTTGGCCCTCCACTTTGGCACTGATACAAGGGCACAAAGTTAAGTAAATGGCTTTTGTCCTCAAGATTGAACAGGTAGAGTTGCATTTCCTTTTAGAGTCTTTCCTTCCTTAAAATTGAGGGAAAGATCATAATCCCTCCTGAAAAGGACCCATGCCAGGCACCCCCCAGGATGTCTCAGGTTTTTCTTAATCTGTTTGGAGAAGAGGGCCTGGCAGGGTGGGAACAGAGCTCAGCCAGGGGATGAACAAGGAAGGCCCCATTTGTAGTGGGAATCCTATTTCCTCTCATGTTTGGAGGAGGTACCAGTCTATCATAATCCTCTTCTCAACCAATCCAGCCTCCCGGTATCTTCTTAATGCTCAGCACTTTCAGATGTCGAAATCTTTGTCCCCTCCTCCTGAGGTTATTCATTTTCACTGGTGATAAATCCGAGGGGAGCCCCAAGGACTTACTGCACTTCTGCGGGAGGAGCAAGAATGCAGCCTGTCCTAACTCTTCTGGCCACTTTACTGCTGCTGCCCCTAGTGCTCCTAGGACAGCCTCAGGTACAGGCAGAGGGTGGAGGGATCTCAAGCAGGTAGGGAGATGGTTCTGTACTTTGGGCTGGCTTCCTTCTCTATTGTGATTCTGCTCAAGAATCCCTTAATCCTTGGAGAGAATGAAAGTAGAGAGAATTAGGGGGAAAAAGGAGGATGGGACATCATTTTGTTTTGATTTTCCCGTGGCTTGTATGGGCATAGGATGTGAGAGAGAAGAGAACGGCAAAGGAAATAGAGAACTAACATGCCAAATTATGAGGCTATCTGACATGCCAAATTATGAGGCTTCATTCTCTACAAACCTGTCACCTTCTTCCTGTGCTAAGGGTACTGGAGCTAATGGTGGCTAGATCAGGTATAGCAAACTATGCAATATTTGTTTCATTATCCCAACAAAGCTCAACTATTGGGTTGGAATTTGCAAGGTGAATATATAACCAGAGTAGGTTATTGTTTATAGGACCAGAAAAGCTATGTGTGGGTCTTCTCTGAGAAGTATAGAGGCCACATATTTAATTCTAGAAGATTTGGTTAGAAACCCCAGCTAGTGCCACAGGTCTAATTTAAAAATTGGGAAGGAGTCTTTAATCTAGTGCTTGCTCATCCAGTTTCAAAATGGGTGTGAAAAATTGGACCTTGAGAATTATAATAAAATAAGGACTCTATCATATGCAGGTAAGCACTATTCCAAGTGTTTCACAAAAATTTTATCTATCTATCAAACATTCTTAAAGTAAAACTATAAGACAAATGACATAATTTCTACCATTGTACACCCCAAAACACTGGGACCTAAAAAATAAGTAGCCAACCCAACATCAAGAGCTAAAATTAGAATTTAGGAATTCTGGTTATAGAATTAATGGGTTTGGGTTTTGATTTGCATTTCTCTGACTGCTAGAGATGGTGAGCATTTTTTCATGTACTTGTTGATTGATTGTATGTCATCCTCTGAGAAGTGTCTGTTCAGGTCTTTGGCCCATTTGTTGATTGGGCTATTTGTTATATTATTGTTTAATTTTTTGAGTTCTTTGTATACTCTGGATATTAGGGCTCTATCTGAAGTGTGAGGAGTAAAAATTTGTTCCCAGGATGTAGGCTCCCTATTTACCTCTCTTATTGTTTCTCTTGCTGAGAAAAAACTTTTTAGTTTGAGTAAGTCCCATTTGTTGATTCTAGTTATTAACTCTTGTGCTATGGGTGTCCTATTAAGGAATTTGGAGCCCGACCCCACAATATGTAGATCGGGGCCAACTTTTTCTTCTATCAGGTGCAGAGTCTCTGATTTGATATCAAGTTCTTTGATCCATTTTGAGTTAACTTTTGTGCATGGCGAGAGAAAGGGATTCAGTTTCATTTTGTTGCATATGGATTTCCAGTTTTCCCAGCACCATTTGTTGAAGATGCTATCCTTCCTCCATTGCATGCTTTTAGCCCCTTTATCAAATATAAGAAAGTTGTAATTTTGTGGATTGGTCTCTGTGTCCTCTAGATACCATCTCACTCCAGTAAGATTAGCAGCCATTATGAAGGCAAACAACAACAAGTGCTGGAGAGGATGTGGGGAAAAGGGTACTCTTGTACATTGCTGGTGGGACTGCAAATTGGTACGGCCAATTTGGAAAGCAGTATGGAGATTCCTGGGAAAGCTGGGAATGGAACCACCATTTGACCCAGCTATTGCCCTTCTTGGACTATTCCCTGAAGACCTTAAAAGAGCGTACTACAGGGATACTGCCACAACGATGTTCATAGCAGCATAATTCACAATAGCTAGACTGTGGAACCAACCCAGATGCCCTTCAATAGATGAATGGATTAAAAAATATGGCATTTATACATAATGGAGTATTACGCAGCGCTAAAAAATGACAAAATCATGGAATTTGCAGGGAAATGGATGGCATTAGAGCAGATTATGCTAAGTGAAGCTAGCCAATCCCTAAAAAACAAATGCCAAATGTCTTCTTTGATATAAGGAGAGCAACTAAGAACAGAGCAGGGAGGAAGAGCAGGAGGAAAAGATCAACTTTAAACAGAGACATGAGGTGGGAGGGAAAGGGAGAGAAAAGGGAAATTGCATGGAAATGGAAAGAGAACCTCATTGATATACAAAATTACATATAAGAGAATTTGAGGGGGAAGGGGGAAAAAAACAAGAGAAAGAATTAAATTACAACAGATGGGATAGAGAGAGAAGATGGGAGGGAAGGGGAGGGGGGATAGTAGAGGATAGGAAAGGTAGCAGAATACAACAGTTACTAATATGGCATTATGTAAAAATGTGGATGTGTAATTGATGTGATTCTGCAATCTGTATTTGGGGTAAAAATGGGAGTTCATAACCCACTTGAATCGAATGTATGAAATATGATATGTCAAGAGTTTTGTAATGTTTTGAATAACCAATAAAAAAAAGAAAAAAAAGTGAAACTAAAAAAAAAAAAGAATTAATGGGTTTGGGATTTATGTGAGTATGAAAGTGATATGAGAGGCAAGAAGACTTCCAAATAATGCATATCTTAGCCCTAGAACATTCTTCTTTGTTCTACTGATCTGAGAC